TGCGGCTGACTTTGGCAGGGAGGAGCGCTGCCTGCAGCTGCTTTCTGCTCAGTTTCTTCCATGCTCAGTATGTCTGGACTGTAGGTCACAGGAAGAAACATCAGAGTCAGCTGATACAGACTCCAGTAATACTTCAGAATAAGGTTGTTTTCCCTGGGGAATAATTGGAAATGAGGAATCAAACTATCTTTGGTGCGGAGAGCTGACTTTCATGTCTAGGGTTTTAACTTTTTTCCTAATCAACAGCGATTAAATAAGCCAGGTCCTCCTGATCTGGTTGTCATCTCATCCTCTCCTAGCATCAGATTGAGTCCATCAACTCAAAAATGGATTCCAGTATACACCTTAATATCTAGTTTAATTGTTAGTGTGACACTTCTAAGCTGGAAGACCTAGTGGCAACGCTGGGTTTGGTGTTTTGTTTGTGCCTCTGGGCAGACTCGTGCAACGCTACGTTATTTTGGAGATGCACTTACCTAGGCATGAATGGTCATATGTGCGTATGGGAACCCGGAGCCTGGGTAGTTCTGGGTGAGGATTTATCTTGTTCGGTGTTGACAAGTGAAATACTTGCAGACAGCTGGTGTAATCCTGGTGTATTATTGTTAACTGGGTTTGAATGCAGTCGTGCAATGCTGGCAGTGCTGTTGCTGGTCTTTATCCCTTGTTTTAAATGGCTCTCTGGAGCGCAGTGTGTGGGGGCATAAGGGAAAATACTTGTGTGAGCCTATGGAAGAAAAGTCTTTCACCTTCCGTGGGGCTTTCCTGCAATGCGGTTATGATTGTGTCATATCCTGATGAAGAGGCTTTTCAGGTTGGAGATACATAAACTCTTGTTCTGCCTGTGTTTGGGATCTCACGGGTTGCTTATGGCAGCCATGCATGGACGGAGGGGCTGGTCCCAGCATCCTCCAGCACGAGTGGGCCGGTCCAAGCATCCTCCAGGATGCAGGTGTTTTGCACTGCTGAATGTGCTTCAGCAGCTATAATGGGGTTAATAGCATCAAGTTTGAGAGAGATAGTGAGTCTTACTCGCCAGCTGCTTTGGAAATTTGAGTTCCTTTGATGGTAAAGTATGATGGACATAGGACATGAATCTAGGACTAGTTTCCAGTATACATCCAGGTCAGTATATGTATCTCTACAGAGAGACACCATCACCCCCTAACGGGTTAAGCAGAATATTCGGGATATCTGGACATTGAGTTATATACATGAGTTTTGCTGCTGGAATCTGTCAATAGTTTTTTAACAAAATATTGCAAGGAAAACCTATGACTATTCGGCAACTACAAGATGAAAAAGAAACAAAAACCAAAACAACCTCCCCCCAAAGTCTCATTCTTCATAGCTGTCTGGGGGAAAAATGCCTATTGTCAGCCTTTTGTTTTGGAATTGGAGGGTGCCTGCATCCCGCTCCTTGGCGATGCTCTGCCATCTCGTGGACACGCACCGGCAGGCAGATCCAGCTCCGCTTCCGCGCTGGGCGCGATTCCTTCCTGACAGCGTTGGCAACTGGTGTTTTGAAGCTTCCTTCTGCCTCACCTTCTTTGGGGTGCTTGTTTTTACCCATAAATAGGCTTTGTTTCGAAAACTTCACGGCTAGGAGCGCGTGTGGTCGTTACTTTGGCTCAGCTCGTGAGCCGTAACCTCTTAATCTCTCCTCAGTCATAGGAGTCTGTAGATGGATTTGGGCGCTCATTCACCTAAGTGCTGCCAAAAAAGTGACTTTGGAAGAAAATACTCTTTTGACGATAAGTGTTCCCCATTCATAAGATCTGCTTTTTATTGCAGACCAGAGAGGACCGGTTGTCTGCTGCGCTAGAGGGGTGCAGCTCAGATGCAGAGCCGGTCTTCATCACCCTCTCTGTTTTCACCTAAGCTAGTTTGTTGGAGGAGGCTATGTGACTATCTTGGCATCGTGAAGATGTCATGGGGAGGGCTGAGTCAGTATGTTTTGCTTTTGCTCCCTTTGGCAAATGCTTGGAAAGGCTTTCAGACTTGGATGTGTCGCAGCTGAATACCCCAGTGCTAGATACTGTCTTCAGACTGCGAGCGCTTGGCAAACTCTACGTGTACCAGACAAAACAAGCCAAGGAGTCATGTCCTCCAAGACACCCTCCATCATCCCTGTGAAGCTCACGAAGGATGCAGGAGGCTGCATGTCACAAGGGCATTTTGTGAAAGCTGCTACACATCCAGAGAGTTTTGGGACACATCCCAAGTGGTTTCTGGACTGGCATCTTGCAGCTGTTGGCTTTCAGTTTGCTGGACTTGTGCCTCCAGGCTGGGTCTCCTCTCCTCCAAACGGTGTGTTTTAGGAGGAAGAAATTATGGAGCACTTTTGAGAGAGGCACTGGGCTTTACTGGTGCTACGAGATCAGCTTGGAAGACAGTGTTGATACCGTTTGTTTTGGCATCTTAATTGCCTCACAGCTCATCCCCTTCCATTTCCTTGCTGATTTTTGACCCTTTTTGTCATGTGCTTGAAGTTACAATAAACGTCTGTTTCTCTTCTGCCCACAATTGTCGTCCAGCTTCCTCGTTGGATAAGAAACAAGGGAGCAGCTCCTTAGAAGAAAGGCAGACTCTGTAGGTTGTTCATGTTCCTCTTAGCACCATTGTATTTCTGACTTTGTCCAAACAGGCTTAGAAGCACCAGGACTCCTGACCGTGCTGGGATCCCACCTGAATTTAGGCACCTAACAGGTGTCCTTGCCCACTCTCCTTGAGACTGCTCCTCATTGACAAGTATTTTCAAGTCAGACCTTAAAATTCAGTGCAGAGATTGCGTGAGTAAAGGTGGGACCTATGCATAGGCTGTTCATTTGGGGTTCCTGCCATAGGAGAGGCATGGACACTTTGGGGCATGGTTTGTTGCATCTCATTGTAGAGCTCTAGCGAAGGTTAGATGATTCCCATCTAAGGATACCCATGTCCTTTCCCTGTCAGCTCTGCAAGGAGCCCAAAGGGACCAACCCATATGTGAACTTGTTCAGATACAGTAGGTTTCTTAAGAGAGATGAAGCCAACCCAGGTGTCCAGGGCAAGAAGGGTGGATCGTGGGCTAGCGTCCCCTCTGCTCTTAATCTGCATGTGAGGAGAGGAGGTTGGTGTCCAGCACTGGTGTGAGGGCTTGCTCCTGGACCCTACAGATCACTGACTCTCCCAGGGTCTTGGTGGCAGGGGGACAAGTCTCCTTAGAGCACAGGGACAGCTCTTTGGTGCGGTGGTGTTACTTACTATCACCCTATGGAGTCCTTATCCTCTCCATGAGAGGAGAGGACTAATCAACCAACTATCTAAGGTTGGGTAGTCCTTGTTTTAGCCAGCTTGTTAGCCAGCCCAGATCCTTCCTCTTTCAGAGCTTTGGCCACAACCATGTGGCACTCTCTCAGTAGACTGTTCTGCTCTGGTGGAGCTGGGATGGGCTCGCTCCTGTGTCTGGCATCCCCTCCCACTGGAAGTGACCTGGTCCATGTAATGTTCCCCATGCGCTGTATGTCGCTCCTGCCACTCACCGGGTCTAACCCTGATGTCCTTTACATATCCACCAAACACTTATGAACGAGTTGAGGTGGTTCCCTAGGAGCCCCAGGCACTAAGGGGATTTCTTCTCCCCACCCTCAGATCCTACTGGACTCCATCCAGAGCGTGTAGGCATGGCATTGCTTTCAGAGAAGCTTTTTAGTCTAACAAGCCAGCTTCCCATATCCCAAGGGTCTTTCCAATACTCTAACTGCTAAAACTGCAGTGGAAAGTCCCTGTCAAAGAGCCAAGGTTTACTTGAGTATAGATTGCAATGTATTGGGAGTCATATCTCTGTTGCTCTGTAAAAAGCTTTTGTTTTTCCGTGACTTCCAGTAAGATACGGTCTTTCTGTGGTCTGTTTTTTGTGGCATTTAACTGACAATAACTGACAATAACCACCTCCTTGTGGAAAGGAGCCATGGTTACCTGTAACCCCTTCAGCATCAGAGTTAAGACCACTGTTGACCAAGGAAGGCAAATGGGACCATTGCCATCTCCAGAGCGCTGGAGAGGAGGGTCTGGACCAAGGCAAAGCTGGCTAATCTTCCATGC